TGTGACAAGTATGTGTTGGACCAAAAAGAGAGTCGAACCAACTTGAACAAATACGCCAGACTTCAATTAATAATTAGAAACTATTAGAGGCATTACAATATCAAATACGATTCTGTTTTAAGATCAGTGATCCAAACAAATTCTTCATGTATGTTATACCAACATTGAACCATCTTGAGGTTATCTTGAGTTGATTTCGAGGCCTTTTTTTTTTTTTAGTGTCCCAGCGGCCCGGACCTTGACCAGGCCTCCACCCCTAGGAAGCAGCCCGTGACAGCTGACTAACACCCAGGTACCTATTTACTGTTAGGTAACAGGGGCATAGGGTGAAAGAAACTCTGCCCATCGTTTCTTGCTGGCGCCCGGGATCGAACCCGGGACCACAGGATCACAAGTCCAGTGTGCTGTCCGCTCGGCCGACCGGCTCCCCATATATCAGATAACACCCTAACCCCAACCCCACTGGCATAGACAGCATGCCCATGCACTCTGTACCAGGTTCAGACTCCTGGAATTCTATATTCATCAAAAATTTAAAAAACCACTATCACTAACTCTAAATATCTTTTGGAGATGGAGCCTAGAAACAGGTATAGTATTATTCCCAACATACAATACTTTAAACAGCGGAGAATGTACGACTGCACAGAGGTAGTAATGCAGATGTAAACCGAATTATTGACTTGAACATCACACATCATAAAAATCTTCGAAAGATTCCTACAAAGTCAATCACAAAACACATGGAGTCAGTGTCTACATAATCCTGGACAACATGAGTTAAAAACAAGGTGCTCCTGTCTATCAAAACTGCTACACAACTATGACATGGTCTTAGTTGCCATGGAAGACAAGCAAAATACTTATGCAATATACTGTACCTTGAACATAGATTTCACAAAAGCTTTTGACAAATGTAACCATGGTTTTACTGCTCACAAAATGAGTTATTGGCAAAGTAGAGAGATGGATTTTTAACTTTCTAATGAACAGAACCCATAGTGTAAGAGTCAACACAGTAAAATCTGGATCATCCACTGTGAAAAGCTCAATCCTCGAAGGTACTAGGCTTACTTGGGTACTTTTTCTTATCCCAATATTGGACATAGACAAGGAGGCAGACGATAGTACAGTACATTCTTTGTAGATAACTAGGATTTTCTTGAGTGGACAATAAAGAGGAAACGGCAAACTTCCAACTTGAAGTTAATCAGGTCTTTTAATGGGCAACAGAAAACAATAGGTTTAATCTGGATAAATTCCAGCTACTGCACTATGGGACAAACTAAAATATCAAAAGGGAAACCACATAAAATGCAGTCAAACCACACTATTGAAAGAAAAAACAATGTAAAAGATTTGGGAGTAATCATGTAGGAAGACCTTACTTTTAAAGAACTTAATAAAGTAGCCATCACAAATGTAAGAAAAATGGCAGGTTGGATAATGAGAATCTTTCAAACAAGAGATGCCATACCAATAATGATACTTTTAAAGACACTAGTGCTTTCTAGAGTGGAATATTATTGTATACAAACAGCCCCATTCAGATCTGGAGAAACTGATGACTCGGAGAGTATGCAAAGTTCTTTTATTGCCACAATCCATTCAATAAAACATCTGAATTATTGGAACCACTTAAAACTTTTAAATCTGTAATCCCTAGAATGCAGGTGGGAGATATACATAATAATTTACACTTGGAAAATACAAGAATGAATGGCTTCAAATCTGCACAAACAAATAACACCACATGAGCCCAAAAGGCATGGCCAGGATGTGCAGAATAGCTCCATTGAAAACTAGGTGCAATTCGTATGTTAAGAGAGAACTCTACCAACATCAAAGGCTCAAGAATTTTCAACATTCTCCCTTTACACACAAGGGGCATAACTGTCCGACCTCTCACGATGTTCAAAAGAGAACTTGATAACCATCTTGAAAGAATATCCGATCAACCAGGCTGCGAGCAGCCATGTCGAACAGCCTGGTTGACCAGATGACCAACCAGGAGGTATGATCAGAGGCTGGACTGTGATCCAAGGATTCATTGCAAGGTAAGCCCCCATTAGAGGAAGAATCCTCAAGAAAGAACCCAACACCCCCCCACTGACATTGGCAAGATGGCAGGAAGTAGAAGCTGTCGATGGAGAAAGTCCCTAACCCATGGACTGCAAAGCCTAAACGTACACACTAAAGAATTATAGGAAATTGAAGGGAACAGAAGGCTCTGCTGCCTCTGTTGGCTGGCTGGACAGGGAAATGCCCGAGGCTGTTCCTTGGGGATGAACCATTGGAGAAGGCTGAAAACCGGAGAGAACAGAAGCCAAAAGAACTGCCCCAACGACAACCATGTAAGAGGCATAAGAATTGGAAAGAAATGAGCCTGGCACAAAAATGCAAAACCAACAGCTTAACTTCCTCAATTGACAACAATGGGTTTACTGCCCTAAGGCCTGGATCTGCAAGGGAAAGATGGTACAGGGCATCCCAAGTAAGCTGCTGACCACGAAGGAGGCTCGGCCAAAATAGAAGCCCTAGGGTGAAAACATCACACCCAAGGACAAGAGGAACTAATGACCCATCTTCAACAGGCAGAATGACTTATGACAAGTGACCATTGGTGACTAAGAGCACCAACTCAGGCTGTAGCAGCAGGAAGCACCAGTAAAAATATCATTCCCAAAACACAGCATCATGGTGAGGCACCACCACCACACATTAGTAACACCCACTGCCTCATAAGCTCAGGAAGGGGGGGGTGTCACCAGCAAAACTCAGGGGGGGTCACCAGTGCTCCTCGTAAATTGACAAGGTGTGCATCATACACACATTTATTCACTCCCGTTCAAATCATTTCTACCCAGCCTTATGTCTTGCCATACCCCAGTCAATAGTTACACTCGGTCTCCAGTTCCTCATTATGTCTTGACCCTTCTCCCTATCCTTCCTCTCCTCAAATACACTAGAATACACTTTCTTCACTGGGTTACCATCATACCCTTGTTCAATATGCCCAAACTATCTCATTACACTTTTCTTAATCTTATGGTTTATTGACTTTAGCACTATCTCTCCATGACATTTTCATTCCTGATAAACCAGACTGTGACTTGTACATTAGGCTGAGAGCAGCCACACTGAAAGGCCTCATCAGAGACCGTGCCACAAGACATTGATCCTTGCAATTTTCTTTTTACTTTCATACCACACCATTGTCTTGCAACCATATATGCATAAACAATATTACCATTTCTGACTTAAGACATCTGGCAGTCAGGACTTTTGTTGCACCACTTTCCTAACATGATTAAGTCAACACTCAATTTCAAATGCAGAAATTCTCTATTAAGCTATTACACATCCCAAATATTTAAACTGATTAACCACTTTCAATACTTCAGTCACATTTACTTCACACAAAATTTACTTCTCTACAACCATAACTTTACTTTAATTCACATTCATTTCTCACACACCTCAATAAAATTTACAACTAGTCTAAATAACTCCTTTCTAAAAGACTTTTTATTTATATCAAACCAGTCAATCATTACTCCATTCACTGCATCCTACATGGGAGCTGTCACAGCATTTAATAAAACTCGGACAACTCCATATATGCTTGACACACCAAAATTCCTTTTACTGGTGACTTATCATAAGTTATAGTACTTGTATTCAAAACTAATTATACATCCATAGTATTTATAGGATATGTTTATCTATAAAATGACATTCAAGTCATTTAGGGATGCGTGAAGGGATGCCATGATCATTCTGATGTTGACCAAAACATGTTCGTTGTCAAATATATATGATATAACCCAGATGCCTGGCCACTCCTCTTTACAGTTAAACATTCTCCCATGCCTTGCTTTTAACATTTCTTTTAACTATCTACCAATCTCCCTACTACATGTTCTTACTTTTCCAAAAAACCTTTCTGTTTCCTCAACAATTTTCCTTAATTCTTCACCCTATTTTTCCCATTCACACTATATTTTCTTCTTAACTATTTCCTGCTTTAATACTCTATCCACAAATCTATCACTCGTCAAACTCACAATTTTTGTACCCCTCTTCATTCACTTTGTGTTCTTACAATCCATTTAATAATAAAAACAATCATACTACATTAAATTATTGTGTATCTTCACCACACAACCACCATATTAATATAAGAACTTTGAACAAAAATTAGATAAGCCATTGGTCATTTTTTCCTCAGACAATTTAAAGTACAGTACTGTATTTTCTATACACAGCAGAAATGTTAAATACTAATCACTCCTTTTAAAGTCAGCAAATGGCTGCCCTTGAAATTGTACAAAACACACTTACCACCTATATTATGTAAATAATCTTATTAAACACAGAATAACACACCTTCAAACTTACATTATTAAAATAAGAAGTCACTACAGTGCTTGAAAACAACACCAAAGTTATAATATACCTGAAGCTTGTCACCAGCTTTCCTTAAGAATAATAAGTACCGTATTTTGAAGCTTCTTGGGTGACTATCTACAAGAGGAAACTTAACAAGTTCACATACCATGTAAAATTAGCTATGTTTGCCTACCAGGAAATTTTATTAGAAAAACAGTACTAAGCAGTCTTTTTTTTTATTATTTTGTCTGCTTTCAGCAAGCTTTCTTGGCAAGAATGATTGTATCAATCATCTGCTCCCTGTGCCTTTTTGAGGGGGCCAGGTTCTGGTTTTGGCCTTGGATAGGCCAATAAGATGCCTATGACTGATGAAGCTAAGTATTGAGAAGGTATGTTGGTAACATAGCTTCAAGGAGCCACGAAGGGAGCACTCTCAGAAAGAGCAAGGCATCTTGCAATACAATATTTAAGTAATTTATCTACCAAAATGGAGTAACTATTTAACTGCATTCTGAAACACTGGATATCTAACAATAGCTTGCAGCCTATTGTATAACAGTACAATGGTTAGACAAAAAAACAAAAAATTCATGGATTGATTTACTCACCATCTGACATGCGACTATCACGGGAAGGAGTATTGGAACGTGTGGATGCTGCAGCAGAATCTGCTGGCTTGTTCATGCTTTCAGCTAACCATGATGAATACTTCTCTGTTTGATCCACAATGAAACTCAATTGTTGGTCAAGGGCCTTTTTCTTTTTCTCATCCAGCTTTGTTGTCACTTTGTATTCAACTAATTTTTCTACATTACCCCAAAACGTTCTAATTTCCTTAGCAATATACGCAGCTATCTTCCTAGTTCTCATTTCTTGTTCCTTCTCTGCCTTTTGTGCTTGCAAAGCTTTGTCCTGAAAATACTTTTGAACCATTCGGGCACATTTCTTAGCAGCAGCTTTCTTCCATTTTCGTTCTTGAGCAAAATCTGCACTAAGCCACACCATCTCTTCCAACAAGTAATCCCAATGAGCCTTAGCTCTTGGAGGCTCTTGCACTTTTGGTAATCTTTTTTCTGCCCACAATCCCTCTTTTCTCAGCGAGGCAATTCGTTGCATAACATAAGCTTCCTGCCTTGCTTTTTCCACCATTTGATCCTGCTGTGTAACCTGAATATTTTCACTTGTTGAGGGCATTTTCTGGCGCGCTCCCATTGCTGGACTTGCCAGGCCCTTCCCAGGTTTAACCGGAGATGAGGAAGTCCTAACATTAGCACCTAAGACACCTTTCAAAGGTGACTGAGGTCCTGAGGGGTTTTCTGTTTTTATTTGGACACCTGAGGTTAAGTGTAATGGATTGGGAACAGTGAACTTAGCCTCTAAAGATTCATCTCCTTCAAGTTTGTGATGACGAATGAATTGAAGAAACTCTCGAGTAGGACGTCTACTCCATGACTGATAGTCCATCATATTGCCATCTCTTTCTAAAAAAAAAAGTTCAACCAAATGATCATTATATTTTTCTTTTACACCTTCTAATTTGGCTTTTTTCCAGTCAGTAATAACCTTCCGTAGTTCTAATAAATCGAAGGGCTTTTCTTCAACCTTAATACGTTTGGCAGGAGGCTGCAACGAAATGGAAGGTGGCGGTCTTCTGGGAGAAGACGAGGGAGTCGAGGTAGGAGTGACTTCAGTGAGTACAGGAGTTGTATAGGTAGAAGGCACAGGAGAGGTGCGGGGTGTGTAGGAATGAAGCGTGCGGGGATCAGTGAGCCTCACAAGCTCCCCTTCACCACACCCCATGCTGCCAGCCTTCACAGGACTAACTAACTGCTGTACCAACTGACACTCTGCACCACCTCCTCCACCACCACTGCTATTGTTACTGCTGCTGCTGGGGGCAATACCCTGAAACCAACAAGTTATAATAAATATCAAAATTTATTTATATATTTTTTATGGAAATTATATAACTAGATATGCTTTGTTTGTAGTCAATAAACAAAAGTATGCCCAGGCTTTCATATCTCAGGGCAAGAAAATAATGGAGTTACGAATACAGGAAATAAATGCACATAATATTTGAAACGTTTTGCTGATTACATGGGGATGTCATTCAACACTCCTCTGGTGATCATTTGCCAAAGTGGAAAACAATCCTAAGAGCCTTAGTTTTTGCTTCTGCAGCCTACTAAATGTGATGAAAATACAGTAGTGATATTGTGATGTGTACTGTACTGATTACAGTACTAGTGATGATACCTTGTCTCTCAGCCTGGATTCTCCTCTTCTTCCTAGTGTATACTGCCTCTCCTCTTCCCTGGTAAGACCCATTTTTGTTCTCTATGGTTAATTAGCTTCAGGATGCTACTAGAGATTTCTCCAGAAACCAACATTGAATGTAATGGAAATGCATCTTTCTGGAGGAGTCCCAGTGGCACCCCGATTCCCTCCCTCCCCACCAGATTACCCAGTTCGTCGATGTGCTGTTCATCAGCTCCAGAACTGACTAACAATGTGGCAGCGTGCTAAAATCGGGCCAATATGTGGTGGCATTGGGTACTATGAGTTTTGTTCTAATTTTGAATGTTTTTCTTGTTCTCTGTAAATCATTTGCAGAGTTGTTTGGTGTTCTCCAGGCTTTTGTCTTTGTAAACCAAGGTGTCTGTAAAGCTTCACTGATTTTATGGATGCTTTCCTGGTGTAGTGGCCAATTGTCACTTGGTCTCTGTACCTCTGTGAGGGGGGGGCCAGGTTTTCTCTGTAACCCCTGTAAGCCAATCAGAATGTGACCCATTTGCATGGAGCAATTTAAGCAAGTTAGCTTCAGGGAGCCATCAGGGGCTCCCTAGAAAAGAATATAATTTTTCTATATGCAACAACCCATCAAAAGGTATACTTTGGGCTTTTGCCCTCCTCTATTCCATTCTGTAATGTTGAAAGTTGCCTTAGGAAGAAATCCATTATATAGACAGAGAAACAAATAGAATGTTTGCATTTAAAACAATAAAATGTGAAACTAGTTTATAAATTAGATGGACTAGGACAGTGTGAATAAATAATACTCACCCCAGCAACAGCCTGAGTAATATCTGTCACATTATGGCTTGAAGTGGTGGTTTCATTATGTACACTAGTTTCTCTCGCACTCATTACATTCACTTAGACACACCTGAAAAGATTTACAGTATATAATTGCAATACAGTATTAATTATACTTAATTTACTTATTCAGTACTGTATAATATAATACAATACACACTCAAGTTCCTTATCTAAAAGTAATTTTATAAATTAACTGAAAATCAGCAGAAGGCAAAGCCAACTCTGAAATACAGGACTTTCAGGGTTACCTCACAGAGCATACTGAACACGTTATCCTGTTCCATTTGTTAACTTGCTTGGTTGAACAGAGCACAAGGTGGTGTCAATGTCAATATTACATCAAATTCAGAATATAAATTATTTGTACAGTAAATACAGCTTTGTCTGTAAGAGTTTTCTCAAATCTAACACAAGAGTTAGTGTTTATACTGTACTGTAGAGGGTAAAAAGGGAGGGGTAATGTCAGAGATTTAAGACATTAGGAAAATTCCAGTTTGGCACCTGAATGCTACTTCCGGAAACTTTCCTTTATAAGACTGCTCAAAGCCAAGTTGATAGAGCTACGGCCTCACACGCATGGGGTCCACGGTTCGAGACCCATACAGACCAGGTGAATGTAATGTTTATTTCCACGAAAGTGTGGATGGCAATTTATTACGCATGTTAATTTGGTTTATAAAAACAGTATCAGTCGTTGACATCATTCTGTCAATTATGTGCACAGCTCTTATACAATACAATATTGGATTTTTGTTTAGGTTTGCTGTTGTATTTTAAGAATGGTCCATCATTTTAGTTCTGTTTTGGTGTTAATGTTCATTTAAATTAAAAAATGTTCTCTCGACATCTACATCTCCTATGGCATGACGAGTGGCAAATTTAATATCTAATACGACCTGATAGTTCTTTCCTATTTCTTTATCCTGGTAAATACAACATTCAACATAAAGGGATATTGCCTTCCCTTATTCTCACAGCCGGCTTAACAAGCTAAGGCATGTCTCCAGGATGAGATTCGAGAATTTTCTGGTCAATATTACCTATTCTCATCTCATAAGCCTCCCAGTCAATTTATTTCAGATTAAATTTATCTTGTCCCAACAATCTTGTTTCACCTTGATATGATCTTTAATTACAGTACAGTACTGTAATTAATTATCAATAGAAAGTATCAAACCTGGATGTACGAGAGCAAAATGACACAAGACAAGCATGAGCAAGGTCAAGGATATTAAATTCCCAAAGATTTTATCGAAGCATTACGATTCAAAGAAACATTAGGAAGGCAACATTTCTGACCATTCTACAAGGTTGTGCACAACTGTTATTGGGAGAATGCAGTTCGAACAGTAAGGAACAGGTTCTTTTTTGTTAGGCCAATATATAACCGTGCCAGATACATTTCCACATCCACTTACTACAGCAAGAGAAAGACCATAGGAATAGGTAACATTTAGTAGTATGCAATTGGTTATTTGCTATAGTTAACCATCAATCTAGCTGAAGGTTGCATATTGCACTATGACAAGGAATAGGGAATTTGAGGAATGTGGGAGATGCACAAGCGAGTACTTTAGCAAAAGCACCAGTAAGGCCATTAGAGGCAACACCGGTATGATTGGAAATCCAGCAAATTTTACTTTTAAATCTGCTATAGATGAGGAACAGTGTTGGATTTTTATCACCAAAGGATCTCACTTTCCTGATAGTTTAAAGCTCCTCATTTGCCATTTTGTTCCTATCTTGTCCATGAGTTAATTGCCAGAGATGTAGGCATTTATTTATTTACTTGCCTGGTTTCAGCACTAGTGCTACAATACTGTATCAGCATCCTATGCATTATCATGAATTAATTCTGTTAAGCTTAACTATTCTTTCACCAGCACTGGGACTACCTCATTTATACTCCTTTCTTTTTTCCCAACAATGTCTGGTATTTCAGCTGTATTAATTCAGCTCTAGAGCTTTCAAGCATACAAACATTAGTATATAAAATTTACAAAACTTATTTCTTAATTTGTGGCCTCATGTCCATTACTGTCATTTTATTTGCTGGATTTTACATTTGCTTTTAACAGCTTTCTAACCAACCCGTCCTCTTAGAAATTATATTGCTTTTCGCTTATATGTGCTATGGCAAAAAAAAGCCATAATTTGAAAATGAAATATATTTGAAAATAAATTTTGGATTTTTTTTTTCCAAACAGCAATTTAAGGGTCCTCTGGTAAGTTATGAGTGCAGTAGTTCTCCTAAGGTTTCAAAACATCATGAAAACTGTTAATTGAAAGTGTCCTCTCCTAACCTAATAGCCTAGCCAGAGGACCCAAAACAGAAAACGGACAGTATGTCACTTTCGCGGGCCGTTTCCATTTTAAATTACTGTACAGTGGTACCTCGGTTTACGAATGCCCCTCTTTACAAACTTTTCGGGTTACGAGCACGATTTCTTGGGAAAATTTGAATCGGGTTACGAACTTTACCTCGGGATACGAGTTTGTTGATACGCATATGGCCGACCTAGCGCGTGTTGGCACAGCGATCATGCCTCAGTTTCTCAGTGACTCCCGCCTAGTGACTATCCTGCCTGAATTCTATGCAAGCATTTAGTTTTTTTGGTTTTTTTTTTGGCTATTTAAACATAAAAGTTGCTATTATATACCTCACCATGGGTCCCAAGAAAGCCAGTAGTAAGGTTCAAGGCAAGAAAACACATGTGAGAATGACCATAGAGGAAAAACAAGGGATCATCCGTAAACATGAAAATGGTACATGTGTTGTTGAACTAGCTAGACAGTATAATAAATCTTCAGGGGAGGAGGAGGCAGTAGAGGATGTACCTTCCTTATTAATTAAGAAAATGTGTGCAGTATGGGAAGAACTGCAAAGTTTTGCTGAAAAGAATCACCCAGATAAAGCTTTAGCAAGTCTTTGCACTGATCTTTTTAACACTTTCGCTCACCCCGCGCGCCACCCCTCGACAGGGCGATATGGGCCCCAGCGTGTCACGGAAGCGCGCGTTAATTCCGAAAAGTGTATACTCTCTTCAACTTTGTCACCTCAATTCTCCTTCTACGAGAATAAATTTGGTATCATTGTGTTCGCAATAAAATTCTCTACAGCACTAAATGCATATAAACTCCAAAAGCCCGGCTAATTACCCGCAGCAAACAGAGAAAGTGCGAACGAGTTACCCGGGAGCGCGCAAACGGGATAAAATGTTTTCACTATTTTCACTCTGGTCACCTCAATTTTTGTCCTAGGTCTTTCATTTTGGTCTCAATGGGTTCGTAATAAAATTCTCTAGAGGAACATTAGCATATAAAAAAAAACACCTGGTCACGCTCCAACCGCCGACGAGTTGAAGACGGGCCACGCGTTAGCCGTGAGTGAGCGCTCAGAGGCCTTCCTACTACACTCCCAATTCCCACCCTTTTCAAGCCTTTCTTTCGCAATTTTCTTCCTGGAAGGGCCTTGTTCGTGATTACTATCCATCGTGGAGTAAGCGTAGATAGTTTCTAAAGCCGCAGTAAGAAATATAGCCACGGAAAATAGCCGAAATGTTCACACGTTTGAGATGCGAGGGGAGACGACATTGGTCACAACAGTGGAGCAAAGACAATGGGCCCACGGCGTGTGCCAAGCCGCCTGAGGGCCACGAGGCTCAACAAAGGAAATGGGAAGACATCGGCGCACATTTTAAAACCAGTCCCCAAAAAATCGGATACAAACCTGATTTTTGGCGAATTTTTAAAGTGGATGACGCAATGCTGCGTCATCCCCGGCATTACCGCCAGTAAACGGATGACGCAATGCTGCGTCATCCCCGAGCGAAAGTGTTAATGACACTGTGAAAAACTATCTGAAACAATTGAAAAACAATGTGAAAATCATGCAGTGAGCCAGAAGCAGGTCCTAGTGGTATGCAGGCAAAATGTGCCAAAGTGTGCACCCCCAGAGTAGTTCTCACTGCCTGATGTTATAATGGAAGGGGGACTCCCCTTCCAAACACTAACACCTCTCCTCCAACCTCCTCCTCACCGTCTTCCATACGCCAACAGGAGTCATCAGTAAAGTTAAGTAATAACTTGTACATACTTTTGTAGTGAAGATTTGGGTGAATTAGGTATAAAATTTACTTTGAAGTAAATTTTTTGGAGAGTCAGGAACGGATTAATTCATTTCCCATTATTTCTTATGGGGAAATTTGCTTCGGTTTACGAACCATCTCCAGAAATTCGTAAACCGAGGTACCTCTGTACGTCCCTTTTTAGCATACCCGCGAAAAACGACGTAATTTGTAAGAGGATGGGTTGTTCTAACACCTAGAAAAAATAAGAAAATATTTCTGCCCCATTCCTAAATTTTCCAACCAGTTCACTTGCTCTAGGTTTTATTTTAAAACTTTAGTGACCAGATTCCCTTCATTGCCATTTGGATTTTTCTGGCATTTCTATGCACTACTTTCACTTGTTTTGTGTTAGTTATCAGGAGAAGCAATTTTTGCCGGTATCTTAGAATTTGTCTGTAGTCAAGACATCTTTTGTTGTGAGGCCTTCCACTGTACTGTACTTAAATTTTTTTCTGGGTCCTTTATAAAGAAAATATCGAGAATAGAATGTGCAAGTACCTAAGATAAATCAGGTCAATGAGACTTGCAGCAATGCACTGAGAAAGGTTGATTTTTAAGACAAAAGATTTTTTCACCTCAGTATTCTCATTGTCTTTGTCAGTTGAACCTTTGTAAACAACAGTGTGGGGGTGTGTACTAACCTATATGTTCTTGCAGGGTTGAGCAACTGGTTGTAGCCCCACCATCCAAACAATGAAAGTTAATGCAGTAACTCGGTTTATCATATTTACACTTTAAAACTGTAAATCAAGTCAGCTTCAACATATACCCCATGTAGTCCATTCAATTTACTAATAACACTAAGCAGTTTTTTCTACTGATTCCATTCCTTCTCTCCTCCAGTGACTATCTACCTACTCCTGTTGACGATTCAAAGGATCAGTGTCTAAGTGGCCCAGTCTCTGACCAGGCCTCCTGGTTGCCTGCTTGCAGCCTG